TAGCAGGAATAGGCTGGGAAAAACCAAACTACAAAAGGGGGAACTACTCAGGCATGAGGAAACTTCCTTCAAGACATTCAGGGGGAAAGAGGGAACTGACAGGAAAACCAGTACAAGAAATGATGGACTATGTAGCAACAAAATGCAAGGAGGCAGAGGAGAGGTTTGTTCCCAAGGGAAACAGAAATAATGGGAAGAACAGAACGAGTCCTTGGTTCACCCAAAGGTGTAGGGAGGCAAAACTAGGTGTACTAGAGAATGGAAAAGGTAAGAAGACAGAGAACTCAGGAAAATAAAGAAATCAGCCGAAGAGCCAGAAAACGAATATGCACAGATAAAAAGGGGAGGCTCAGAGACAATATGAAAATGACATAGCATCAAAAGTAATGACTGACCCGAAGCTGTTGTACAGCCACATCAGGAGGATAACAACAGTCAAGGACCAGGTAATCAGACTGAGGAAGGGTGATGGGGAATTCACAAGAAACGACCGAGAGGTATGTCAGGAGCTCAACACAAGATTTAAAGAGGTATTTACAGTGGAAACCAGTAGGACTCCAAGAAATCAGAACAGGGGGGCACCAGCAAGTGCTGGATGAGGTACATATAACCAAGGAGGGGGTTTGAAGAAGCTGCTATGCGAACTTGACACCTCAAAGGCGGTGGGACCAGACAACATCTCTCCTGGGTCCTTAAAGAGGGAGCAGAGATATTGTGTGAGCCATTAACAAAGATCTTCAACACATCATTTGAAACTGGGCAACTCCCTGAGGTATGGAAAATGGCAAATGTAGTCCCAATTTTTAAAAAGGGAGACAGACATGAGGCACTAAACTACAGACCTGTTATCACTAACGTGTATAGTATGCAAGGTCATGGAGAAGATCATCAGGAGGAGAGTGGTGGGGCACTGGAAAGAAACAAGTGTATAATTGACAACCAGCACGGTTTCAGGGAAGGAAAATCCTGTGTCAAAAAACCTACTAGAGTTTTATGACAAGGTGACAGAAGACAAGAGAGAGAGGGGTGGGATCGACTGCGTATTTTTGGACTGCAAGAAGGCTTTCGAACACAGTTCCTCACAAGAGGTTACTGCAAAAGCTAGAGGACCAGGCACACATAACAGGAAAGGCACTGCAATGGATCAGAGAATATCTGACAGGGAGGCAACAACGAGTCATGGTACGCGACGAGGTGTCAGAGTGGGCGCCTTTGACAAGCGGGGTTCCACAGGGGTCAGTCCTAGGACCTGTGCTGTTCTTGGTATACGTGAACGACATAACGGAAGGGATAGACTCAGAAGTGTCCTTGTTTGCAGACGATGTGAAGTTAATGAGAAGAATCGAATCGGACGAGGATCAGGCAGGACTACAAAGAGACCTGGACAGGCTACAAGCCTGGTCCAGCAACTGGCTCCTTGAATTTAACCGTGCCAAATGCAAAGTCATGAAGATTGGGGAAGGGCAAAGAAGACCGCAGACACAGTATAGTTTAGATGGCCAAAGACTGCAAACCTCACTCAAGGAAAAAGATCTGGGGGTGAGTATAACACCGAGCATATCTCCTGAGGTGCACATCAATCAGATAACCGCTGCAGCATACGGGCGCCTGGCAAACCTACGGATAGCGTTCCGATACCTCAGTAAGGATTCGTTTAAGACTCTGTACACCATCTACGTCAGGCCCATACTGGAGTATGCAGCACCAGTTTGGAATCCACACCTAGTCAAGCACGTCAAGAAATTAGAGAAAGTGCAAAGGTTTGCAACAAGACTAGTCCCAGAGCTACGGGGAATGTCCTATGAAGAAAGGTTTTAGGGAAATCGGGCCCGACGACACTGGAGGCCAGGAGGGTCAGGGGGGACATGATAACGACATATAAAATACTGCGCGGAATAGACGAGGTGGACAAGACGGGATGTTCCAGAGATGGGACACAGACACAAGAGGTCACAATTGGAAGTTGAAGACTCAGATGAATCAAAGGGATGTTAGGAAGTATTTCTTCAGTCATAGAGTAGTCAGGCCATGGAATAGCCTAGAAAGTGATGTGGTGGAGGCAGGAAACCATACATAGTTTTAAGGCGAGGTATGATAGAGCTCATGGGCAGGGAGAGAGAGGACCTAGTAGCAATCAGCGAAGAGGCGGGACCAGGAGCTGTGACTCGACCCCTGCAACCACAAATAGGTGAGTACACTCACACACACACACACACACACACACACACACACACTCACACACCACACACACACACTCACACACACACACACACACTCACACAACACATGCACACACACACATGCACACACACACACATATACTATAATATATATATATATATATATATATATATATATATATTAAAATATATATATTATATATTAACACACACACACACACATATATATATATATATATATATATATAATATATATATATATATATATATATATATATTATATATATATATTTTTCCTCGTGGGAGACATCTTCAATTTTTCATCCGAGAGTTTCGGAGTATCAAACTCCATCATCAGTTCTGGAACAATTAAGAACATTTACTGGTAATCTTCGTCATGTCTGTTTTGGTGTTCAACTTTGTTATCTGTGAAGGCGTCTCCCTGAGGTTTCCTCAGACCTATCATTGTGCCCCAAGACTTTATAAAAAAAAGCGACGTTTCGCGCAACGAAAGCACTCTCTGTGCGAAACATCATCTGCAATTGTCCTGATTTGTCTACTCCTCTTCCATTTCCAGCGTGTTTTTCACCACTCTGCATGGTAACCTGTTTTGCAAGCAGTTATGAACAAATGCTCTTGAAATGACGTTCGATTCCCCTTATCCAGTCTCCCTTCTGTTGGTCGCTCTCGCACACCAGATGGGAAGGAGACAGTTGCAGGAACGGTAACGAGTATATGGCAAGAAAACAGTTATTCACTGGTTGCAAAAACGGGAATCAGTAATCGTCTGGTAAGACAATTAGGGAGTGAGTGATGGTGGTTGTGTTTCCTTCTTCGGCTCACCCTGTCTTGATGGCTCTCAGCGGCTGTCTACAGCCTCGCCTCTGTACCTTCATCAGCTGATATAGGCCTAGCTTCTCCCTACGAGCCCCGTGAGGGCGGGGACTGTGGCAAGGCCTGGGGACACTTGGTCCCAAAGATGAGGGGGTACTTGTACCTCCTCCCATGGGAGACTTAGGTCTCGAGATACTCCCCAGATAGGGAGCCAAGGCCGGGTCACCACTACTTGGAAAAGACCCGGGCCGGGAGAATACCGGCGAATAAGAAAAAAAAATCAGCTGATAGTCTCGTCTGTTTACATGAATCAGCTGATAGCTTCATCTGTTTACCTCCTCAGATAATTCATATCCCTTCTGAACCTTATTTTCCCTCGATCCCAAAACGTTTAATCAATCTTCACCAGCTGATTAAAACGTTTGTTTACTACGATCAACTGATCTCCCTTTTCTGCTCTTGCTACCAAACGAACACACGTTTTATACAGGAAAAACTTTTGGTTCCACTGGCCAAAATACATTGAACAAATTCCAATCGCACATTTTTTCCCGAGGAACGAAAACACCTATTTGGGCCGAATTTGCCTGAAACGCAAACACAATTCAGGCAGTTTTTTTCGTGACTTGGTCGTCAGATATGTTTTCAAACTCTGGACACCGTGTCTATAAAGGCAACTCACACCTGTGGCAGAGGTGCAGCTGTGGTGGAGGTGCAGCTGTGGTGGAGGTGCAGCTGTGGTGGAGGTGCAGCTGTGGTGGAGGTGCAGCTGTGGTGGAGGTGCAGCTGTGGTGGAGGTGGAACTGTGGTGGAGGTGCAGCTGTGGTGGAGGTGCAGCTCTGGTGGAGGTGCAGGTGTGGTGGAGGTGCAGCTTTGGTGGAGGTGCAGGTGTGGTGGAGGTGCAGCTGTGGTAGAGGTGCAGCTGTGGTGGAGGTGGAACTGTGGTGGAGGTGCAGCTGTGGTGGAAGTGCAGCTGTGGTGCAGGTGGAACTGTGGTGGAGGTGCAGCTGTGGTGGAGGTGGAGCTGTGGTAGAGATGGAGCTGTAGTGAAGGTGGAGCTGTGGTGGAGGTAGAGCTGTGGAAGAGGTATATACCTCATTTTGTGCCCATTCACCGTTCCTGCGCCAATTTCTGCCAAGAAAGAAGCAATGTAAGAGAGAGAGAGAGAGTAGGAGAGAGAGAGAGAGAGAGAGAGAGAGAGAGAGAGAGAGAGAGAGAGAGAGAGAGAGAGAGAGAGAGAGAGAGAGAGAGAGAGAGAGAGAGATACAAACATGAGGAGCCAGTCTATCAACATCTTGTCTGATAACATTAGGAACTTCATTTTCAATTCAGGTGAGCTCACGCACAGTTACGTGAGCACTCATCGTCGTGACATGATCACCGTTGTTGAGACATACTTGGTCGACATGACTCCAGAAAACCTTGTTAGGCAAGATCAGGGAGGAGGAGGAATTCCCACAAATTCTTCTAAAATTGTACTTACCCAGCTCACTGATGTTACACTTCCTGGAAATGATGTTCTCGAGGCTGTACATAAATGATCTCTGTGGAAAAACAGCATTTGATATCAGACCAAACTTGCATTCCAGGCGACTGATTTATCTAGCAGTCTCGTCCTGCCCGAGGATCGATCTCGGAAACTTTCTATTGTGAACCGGATGCTCTAACTAAGATGAAGATACAGTTAGATAAACTGAAATATTCAGAGACGTATATTCAACGAAAATTCAGTATAAAATGCCATGGATAATTCTCATAATTTAAAAATTTATTCCTTCGCTACATAACAAATAAAAGAATTATATAACAAGGGTGTACCTCTATATTTTAAAACAATTCTTTTTTTCATTAACGTTGGCAATAAATCACTAAGATTTTTTTTTATTTGTCGGGAAGGATTTTTATTGGTGGTGGGGAGGTATTGGTTGGTTGTGGGGAGAGGCGGGGGAAAAGGCGGAGAGAGGCAGGGAAAGGTGGAGACACTCA